ATAACATGTATAATGTAACCACAATAAATATACAATAGGAATAGCATTCATTAAAACGCATATTGAATTTATTGCTATATATGTATCATACTTCAACCATTCAAACTTCATACCGTATAATAAATATCACAATCAGAGGCAGGATAAAATCCATTCTGTTGCCAGAAGGACAATAGGGAACATATATTCTTGGGTAGGTGTGTTACTACTCAAAAATGGGAAATTAACCATAAGAAAATCGAAACACTCGTTTTTGTCATTGATCCTAGTTTTGAGTTATTGGCATCACTTTAAAGAAAATCAACATTTGAAACATTAATGTCTCTGAAGTATTCTTAGTTTCATGCTAACTGTTATCAGTAAGATATAAGTATTTAGGTCAAGTTCTGAATAATTGGCCGAAAACGAGAATGTTATGGATATTAATACGGCCAGTCATACTGGTGCAAGATCTAATGAAGACCTAGCTAGGATTCCTTGATTTAACAGAACACAGGAGATGCAGCATCAGATTAACACAACCCCAATGTTCCGCTGTTCAAGAGGTTGGGGATAGAGGGACATTGATACGATTAAGATTATATGTTCAACTTATTGTTTTAATCGCTTAGCATGAAAGACTTTTGTTTAATTGTTTATATTTTAGGAAGATCAATATATATATTAGTTAAGTTGGTAGAATCATTACTAATTTAAAAGAAGACGTTCGTTTACTAAGCGAAAATGCGCATTCATATGTTGGTGTTTTTAAGGTAAAATTGTTGTAACTATATATATCCAATTTGGGATTCCGTTTGATTTCTGCTTGATTTAAAGTTCTTCACAAGTTTGTATGTTCAATGTAGTGCATAATAGTTTGTTAATTCCAAATTGAAACATCGATTTCATGCAAAAGGAAGACATAAATAGATGTAAATAAATATCAATTTGATGTCAAACGAACAAAATTATAGTTACGCGACGACAAAGGTTAAGTTTTGACCTAAAACCAGGCTTCGTATTCATACAGTTACTTACCGGTAGTGGCTTTGGATCTTTAAGCGGGGATTTTTGCTGATAAATCTTTTCTCTTGCAATGAATTGTCTTTTTATGACATTGACGATTGACACTTTTACAAATGGCACTTCCAACTTATCATCCGAACCAGAGATATTTCAGAATGGATTTAATCGCTATGAATATTGGAAAGTGACTTAAGACAACAATCTATAAAAAACAAAAGCATATGATCATGTATTGATATTACAACGGGTTTATAACTATTCGTCATTTTGGCACATGCTGGAGAATGTTTATTGATTGCTGAATTTACAGAGACACTAACAACAAAACGGTTTAACACAGATATATGTATTATTTCCAAATGAATTTAGGGACAGTTGTTCATGAGCCATGCACAACTTCTCTGAAACTACAAAATGGAATGAAGCTTATACGTTAATTACACTTTGTATTTCCATACTATGCATTCAGTCTTTTAATCTAGGGATTTTTTATATTATTTTTTTACATTTTTATGACGATATTGCAGAATCCGATTTCGGAAGCTGTATTTTTTACATTGTTTGTATTGTTATTGTTTGTGCAGCTAACTTTCGGAATCTGTAAAACTACAAAATATTCAAACCACAACGCACCACAATGCACCACAGTGTTATTTATGAACCAAAACTTAACTAAAACCATATAAAATTCCAATCAACCATGCCATACAACTATATAAATGAACGAGAAAACGAATTAGTGAAAATAGACATAGTGATAAAGAATAACTAAAAAACATCAAGATGGCAAAATACGATCTTAAACAATAGACAGGTGTCTATACAATATTTTCAAGCTCTCAATAGTCACGAGTCAAAAAAATGTATGAAGAACTTTCTGCCATCAACACCAAATTCTCAAAATAACAAAATACATTAACAAAATGTGACGTTAGAAACCGAATGACGAGCTTCATGACTTGGGACAGGCACAGGAATGTGTGGCGGGGTTAAGCTAGTTTTTTTTTTTATATCTCAACCTCCCCCGTTTTAATATCGATCAGTGGACTAGCAAAACGCATATAAAGGAACATACAATTAAAATATGTACAGGAAAAGCACTATATAGCTCTAAAATACAGCTTTAAGTATAATAACAAAAGCACAAAATTATCAACAAAAGAATGCTCGCAGACATCGAATGCAATCTCAAAGTACTTAACCTGCTGATATGAAATCATAGAATATCTCTTAGTATTTTTTCACACTACAAATTTGAGAGAATTGGTGTTTATTAAAAAAAAAATACCAGACACCATAAATGAACAACGGTACAATCATAACAGTACAATCCTAACAGTACAATCATAACAGTACAATCACAACAGTACAATCATAACCATGTCAATTAGTCTGTAAATTCTGATCAACAACAGTACAATCATAACCATGTAAATTCTGACCAACAACAGTACAATCATAACCATGTAAATTCTGATCAACAACAGTACAATCATAACCATGTAAATTCTGATCAACAACAGTACAATCATAACCATGTAAATTCTGATCAACAACAGTACAATCATAACCATGTAAATTCTGATCAACAACATTACAATCATAACCATGTAAATTCTGATCAACAACAGTACAATCATAACCATGTAAATTCTGATCAACAACAGTACAATCATAACCATGTAAATTCTGATCAACAACATTACAATCATAACCATGTAAATTCTTATCAACAACAGTACAATTATAACCATGTCAATTAGTCTGTAAATTCAAAGAGAAAGAAGCACTAGTTCTAAAATTGTTAGCTTTATGGAAAATATTTTCGTATAAAGGAGAATGTTAAATACCACTTTTTATCTCGCCTTGACGGAGTCAAATAGCGAGTCATAGGTATGCTGTTTTATTAGTGACTAACGTATCGCATGTACCTTATAATTGAAATCAGAGACTTCACTGTAAACATGCGCACACAAAAGAAAAAGCCAACGAAACATCACCATCAAGGAAAGGAAATTTAACAATATGAAAGGAAAAGTCGTCCCGTTTATCATAAATTTTACATGTATACTTTAAAAAGATCATTTGAATTAAAAAGTTGTTTTAGAGTGTTTCATGGAAAATTTAATTTGCATCAACCATAGAATTAGAATTAACATTTATCCGGTTATTTTGAGGAAGGCCATTGTTACTTAAAAACTGTATTAGTATAACCAGAAGACCATTACTAGACCGATAGTCATCAACTTCTGGTATAATTCATGGGTCGGTCTTTCACAACCGAACACAGCCAAACCACATTGAATACAGCCAAACCACACCGAAAATAGCCAAACCACACCGATTACAACCAAACCACACCGATTACAGCCAAACCACACCGAACACATAAAAAGACCACTAACCCCCAAGGGAAATAGTAATATTTCACAATTAAAAAAAAATAGAATATATTAAATAACGTAAAATTTAATATTATTATCATTTTTTGCATATTTTATGGTCATAAAAGTTGAGAAACAAAATTAAAAAAAAGTCTCCGGATCCCTGAGCAGTATATATATTTTTTGTATATATAGTTAATTGTATATTATCTTAATGTCTTTACTTTTTGTTTACAACAAGTAAATTGTTCAGTAAAGTTAAAACGTTTTATTATACTTCACGTTAAAGTGTCAGATTTTGATTGGCTAATACGAGGGAGATAATTTACTCTATCAATTTTTTTAATGTCACCCTCTCGTGAAGACCAATAAAAAATTGATATTTCAAAGGACAATGAATTGACTTTACATCAACATATTAAAGACAATGCCAAAGTTCTAAATTACGCCTCGCAACAATGCCAAAGTTCTAAATTTAGGCCTCATACTTTTTTCATAGACTATCAAAATAAAACAAAATATTTTGCTTCACTTCTGTTGTTTTTCTAATAACTGTAACGTTGTTGTGTACGTGACAGTAAAACACAATAATGATAGTACATTCAGTATATTAAATTAAATAACACATAGCTGAAAGGGTGATAGAGCAGATAAATTGGTACTCCTCGAAAAAACAACATTGTCAACCTCGGCTTCGCCTCAGTTGACAATGTTTTCTCGGTGTAACAATCTGCTCTATCACCATCTCAGCTATGTGTTATCAGAGACATATAATACATTATGTATTATATGTCTCTGGTGTTATTTATATATTATCTAATGTGAGATTATAACAATAATTAAATGTAAAATAATGTTAGGCTGAAAGCGTACCGGCTGTTCTGACAACAGTCCTATTTAGACCAGAAGACATTTCTTTTTGGTTATCTGGAAATCACTTCTTATTAATTTGTATATCATATATACATGTAAAAGAATATACATAAGTTGAGTTTTATTAAAAATATATCCCATTAATTGTATTCGGCGTTTGATTCACTTTAATATTTTCGTAGTGTTTTGAAAAGTATTATAAGTTTTATCTTATTTTATTTCATCTTGATTTATTTCATTTTATCTGGGAATATAGTATAATAGTCCGAGAATTTATTCAAAATTTTTTTTTTTTTTTTTTTTTTTTGTATTTTCATTTTATTATTTTTGAAAATGTTATTACAAGTCGACTATTCAAGTTATGTTATTTTATCATTCATCGGAGAAGAAAAAATTTAACGTGTAATTTAATTACAGAAAGTACTGGGAATCCAGGTTTGCAACAATGGACAATAAAACACTCTGAAAGAAGACGGAACTATCGATTAGGAAAAATCTCTTTACTAATCAATATCTGTATAAGTATGAAACTGATAGTAACCAAACTTTTCAATAACATTTGTATTTTTGATAATATAATTCATTCAATTGTGAAAAAAATCAATTGGTTGAGGCAAAGAAATTTTAAACAATTGTGTCTAGTGTAGGTTTTGTCATTTTCCCTCACAAATAATATTTTGCACCTGTGACGATAAACACACATCCGGATTGGCTCCATTCCTAACACGTTCCGGTTAATACATATAGCAACCATCATGGCGGGTTCCACAGATACAGGTCGAGATCAAAATATCTAATTTTCTAACATTTTTTCAGAAATCTGTTTTCATAATTCATGTCAAATGACTCCTATTATACACATCTTAATACTTGACAATTTGAACGAGAGCTTTCTTTGTAAATTTTGTTTGTTAAACCCCATAGAATTTCATGCCGGTTTGGTGTCTCCCATTTTCACAAAATCATGGTATTGCTTTCATAAAGAATAAAACCAAATTTTAATTAAAGGGTAAATTGTGAATGTCGTTTTCGTGATAAAATGTATAGACTTCTTATAAATACACTGTTTACTCCATGAAAGATTCACTGGTAACACAGTTTACACAAAGAATTTCCTGTTTTAGCCTTTTAACAGGATCTTGTTTTAGTAATTTTACTATAACCAGACACACACCCAGCAAGATGATGGCTGTATCACTCTACCAACTTTGGCATGCTTTGGTCCATTTTGCCAAAGTGTGGTCAGTCATATAACAAAGGGTGTGAAAACATCGGACTGCTCCATACATATCCCCCCCCCCCATTTTCTAGGTTGAATATGTACACAACCCACCATTTGGGAAATCATTCCCAAAAAGGTAACTTTACCACATTTATGAGGTATTTTCACTGTGTTGAAAATGGAAATTTTTGTATTTTCTTTTTTTAGAAGGTACATGTATCAGTCAGGGGACTTATTGAAATAAGTGATTTTTAAATTACTTATTTAAGTAGCAAATTCGAAGTTTTGTCACAAATTGTGATTTTGTAGTTTTACCAAAATTTTGAACACATAGGTTTAGATAATATCTTTTCATTAGTAAAATTGAAAAAAATGAACTTTTTGCTTCTTTTAAGCAGCAAGGTTTATGCCTTTGATGCAATCATTTAGCTGCAAATTCTATTTTAGTTGAAAAAATGCTATAAAAATGGCTTTACATAATGAACTGATACTTTCTTAACAAGATTTTTCCCAGCAGTAGGAGTATTTTTCCTGTAAAATTCAAGGTTTCATCTTATAGATTATGTAATAAAATTCTACTGTTCGCGATCAAAATTTCACTGTTCGGGGGTGTTGAAATTAGTGGGGGTTATTCAAATAATGATACTTTAAGAAGTGATTTTTTGGAAGGAAATTGAGGTATGATACTTAAACAAGTGATTTTTATGTCATTATCCTAGATTTAGTACAAGCATGACAAGGTCATCACCTGACATGACCCGGTCATCCTATCAACACAGATGTTGGTTCTGATAATTTTGGCAACATAATTAGTCCCTGGATCATTAGTATTCTATATTAAAAGCTACAATAAAATTAAATCACTTAGTCTAGTGATTAATTTGTACTACTTAAATAGGTGATTATTAAAGAAAGACAACTCTTACTTCCAACCTTTATGGACATAATGTTACTTGAATCAGTGATTTAGAATTCAATTTTAACAAAATTAATACAAAAATATTTGTAAAGCGCTGTAGTTATGATTCTTCAGAACACTGTTTTCTGCAACAGACATGGCAGTTGACGGTTTTCAGCACAATTAGTTGCAAAATTTTGTGTACAAAACATAAAATTTACTGGTCATTTTATCATGATAACATACATGAACAAAAATTTGAAGAATTATAAATAATTTTACAATAACATCTGACTGATGAATTAACGCAGTAGTGCATACAATCGGAAATCTAAAAAAAATATATATTTACAATATGCATTACCCAGTGTAGATCAGCGTAGCCCTTTAATTAAGCAGTACATCGATCCTGTTTAGTATTTTCATATCTATTATCTTTTCCTTTCTGATTGAGGATAATTGATATATATGTCAATTGATAGTACATACATGACATACATGTATTGACTTCATTAAAAAATAGGCACAAAGACACTGAGACTACTATATAATTATACTATCCTTTGGGCTAGGAATTGACCATTCATCTGTTGATTCTTAAACCATCAACTCCCCCCCCCCCCCCCTGATATCCTGTACTGTAAAATCCCTACCTGCTTAGGAATTTGTATAATTATGGTCCAGTGGCTAATAGTTCATGTATGTTCAGGAGAAAAACAAATTTACAATAAATACAACAGGTAGGTCCTGACTGTAATAGGGGTCGTCCAGGATGAAGTGCTGGAAATTTGCAAATGCCATTGGAAAATAAGGGTTTATTGGATAGGAATAGAAATTTTGTCTTTCAGCAGACCCTCTACGGACACTTCAAAGAGTTGTTGCAAGTGTTCTTAACGTGCATAGAGCGTGGCATTCTCTCTACACTAGGCATCAGATTTAATGTCCCCATTCTGACCAGACGTGACTGCGTATGTATACATCCCACACATGGCCAAACGGACGCCCCACTTTGGCATGGGTTTTATTGTAGATCAGATGAAGACCAAGTGGAAAGCTAGTTGAAAGTCAACAACAACTAATAAAAAAAAAACATGTATCTAAAGAATATAATGTCAGGGTTTTGAGCATGCTGAGGTTCCTTCAAGTATTTGTTGATAGAAGTGAAATGATCTGAACCAAAGGTCTAGTTTTTTGTTTCTATATAAGGTGGAATATAATGTACATTCCATTATATCCAATACTCCATTCACTAAGGATGATAGACTAGTGTAAAATGAAATTTGATTATTAAAGAGTTTTGACGACTTCACATGCATCTACAGATAACGTTGTCATTATTTTTTTTAATAGAAAAAAATATTTGCGAAAAAATTATGTGTAGGCACGTGCCTTAAGTGCCTAATCATGCTAATGGCAGCTACGTCCATGGTATTATATTTCCTTTTACATTTTTTAAGGCATCAGACATTTGTACAGGTGACCTATAGTTGTTAACTTCTATGTCATTTGATCTCTTTTTTTTTTTCTTTTTTTTTTTTGGAAAAGATTATTTTGAAATTCTTGGGAACAAACTATCTATTGATTTATGTAGATTTAGGACCACAAATCACAAGCTTCCTATTGAACAGGGTAGATGGACCAATATAGTTAGAAATAATAGACTGTGTCTTCTATGTAATAAAAATGACATTGGTGATGAATTTCATTACATAATAGAATGTAAATACTTTGAAGAAAACAGGAAACATTGTATGTCACATTATTATTTTAAAAATGCAAATATTGTTAAATACAAGCAGATTATGTCTTCAAAACACAAATCAAAACTGATTAAACTTTGCAAATTTATAAAGATTATCAACACAGGTATATGTGCTCCTGGCTAAAAAGTATTTCATATATTGTCTTATCAATTGTCTTGTTTGTTCCGTCTTATTGTAAATATTGTACATAAAATGTCTTCTCTATACCTATGTATATGGTTTATTGAGAATAAAGATATATATATATATATATAGTGGAGAGTTGTCTCAATGGCAATCATGCCACATCTTTTTATTTTTAATTTATATATACAATTTATCACTAAGAATTGAATCCTTTAAAACAATGATTTTTTTTCTGTAATTAGATTATATTCATGATATTAGTTCACATCAAGTACATTTTTACCAGTTTATACAAAAAATTAAATACCTTAGAAATCACATCCATCAAGAGATTAAACATTAACAAGTGATGATTAATGATCACTTAGGAGTGTTGACTTTATACATGTGTATTCTGTATATATGTTGCAGACATTTTCTTAATTTAGGCATTTTGTAAAATGCCTGAAAACTTTAGGCATTTTCTAAAATGCCTACAAGATGTAGGCAATTTATGTATTGACTATTTTTTTCAGGTATTTTACATAATGCCTAAAAAAATTGAAAGGCATTTTACAAAATAGCCTGTAGATGTTCATATCTCTACTTTACAATCAGAAACGTCCTTGTATGGTAAAACCAATGCTTTAGAGGGGAATTTGTTTTACTTTGCAGGATGTATAAATTTGCATTCTTTCTGAATGGGGACATTAAATAAGATGCGTTGTGTATGAAAAGTGCCACGTTCTCTGAATGTTAAGAACTCTTCCTCATAGGTGGCCTGTTGGAAGTAACATCTGTTCCTATCCAATGTACCTTCTTTTCATGCGGCAGTCAAAATTCGTGTCCTTTATTCGATCAATCCATTGCAGAACTTACCTATTTGATTTATTATCAATTTGTTCTCGCCCTAAATAAGCACAAAATAACAAACAACAATCGGTCAATCAAACAACGGCCTTCATTTTCTCTGCTTCATATTTCACACTTTTGTTTTGAATCTAGATTTTCTAAAAAAATTGTTTGTTAATTTTGTTTTATTGTAAGAACAATTTGTTGTTCTGTCACCATGACAAGAAAGTCATAAAATTACTATCTGAAATGCAAAGAAAAAAAAGGACAAACGTACAGTAGTTTCAAATAAACTATGATATACATTTAAACTCTCCCAGTTGGTATTTGAAGAATAACTTAAACTTAATTTTTCTGTACCATTAAGTATTTTCTTTGCAAGATATTTTGTGTTTGGTCATATCTCAATGATAATCGTTTTTTACAAATTACCTGAAACTGAATAGGCCTAGGCAATTTGTTGTATTTTGTTTAAAAATTCCAGTCATTTTACAAAATGCTTAAATTAAGAAAATGCCTGTAACATATACATGTACAATGTGCATGAAAACATGTATACACTAACCTGACATTTGTGTTGAGGGTTTATTTCTAAATAATTAAATTATAAGTATAGGTTGGAATTTTTATATTTATTTTTATTTTTTTTTGGGGGGGGGGGGGGGGGGGGGTGTTGTCACAAGACTTCAAGGATAGCCTGAAAATCTGGCTCTGGAATCAAACTAACTAAAAGTGAGTGTTCTGCAATCCTTCAATGAACAAAATTTTTCCATGATTCTGACATGGATTTGATCCATTTCGTTTTGCAATATGATCATGATGATGAATTTAGTTACATGTATCAGTATTCAGTAACAACTACTGTTACATATTTGTTGGTTAAAAGATTTTGAAGAAATACTCATAAAAACATTAGGCTCTGAACTCATAATAAGGTCTCATTGAAAAAGATGATCGCCACCTAGAGTACTGAAAAATAAAATTGAAATGAACCCACAAGTTTGATTTTTAGAGTTCATGCGCGTGCATGAATTTCCTTCACAGATCATGCAGATAAATATTGTTATTTTTATGTTGACAACCATTCAGAACATTACCCATGCTTGAAATCGGTATATATTTTTGGAAGATATCTCCAATCATTATCTTATCAAATAATAATTCAATAGTGAACAATTGTTTATACAAAATGTACCCTGTCTTGATTTAGTTTCTTTACTTTGTACATTAAAGCTAGCTTTACTGGTAACAATTAATTAAGTATTTATCAAAACTGAACTGAATTTGATGGATCAGTTAACTCTTCCTTGTTAGACAATTATGTATCAGACAATTATCCACTAGAGACCAAATGATGTACATGTAGATGTTAGCATATATATAAACAAGTCTAAATTGAAAACAACGTTCAAACCTATGATTGGGTTGGATAAAAACCACAATTTTTATACGTGTGCATGCAAAACAAATTTCTTGGTAGAGTGGTCTAAATACAGCACAAACAACATTTTCCAAAAGACCAAAAAAGTGAAAAAGTATATTTTAACAAAACACATTTGACTAACAGGTCATATATATATATATAAAAATTGTGGTTTTTATCCAACGCAATCATAGGTTTGAACGTTGTTTTCAATTTAGACTTGTATATTGTATATACTCATGATACTGTATATCTAAGATATATAAATTACATATCATGAGTCCTAGGGTGTAAAGATAAATATGACAACACAAAAAAACTAATAGGGTAATTAAAATCCACTTCTCTAAGAAATTGACAACTTCTCCCATTTCTCTGCATGAAGGAGAAGCTACATCTCCCTTGCCAAACATCCTAGATAACCTGCATAGTTGTAAATTCAGAGTTTGTGTTTCCACTCTAAATCACTACACAGTTACACATTTTCACAACTTTATTATATAAATACATACATGTACATGTATGTCAGTCCTCCAAAATCTTTAATTTTACAATTTTTATGTTGCAGTGAAAGTACCAAGAAATTTTAAATTATTAGATGAGTTAGAGACTGGACAGAAGGGTGTTAGTGACGGCACAATAAGCTGGGGTTTAGAAAATGATGATGATAACACATTAACACACTGGACAGGAACTATTATAGGACCACCAAGGGTAAGATAAAAAAAAAACTGGCATGTGTTTAAGACTTAGAAAATGATGATGATAACACATTAACACACTGGACAGGAACTATACACCTTATCGCTATTCCCGCTTGACCCGAGAATCTGTCCCGCTCGAACTTTTGACGTCATACAACAATCACTTTTCCATTGTGGCGTCAGACATTTTCTATTATGACGTCAAAATTTTACGGGAACTTGTGTGATGTCCAGTAATGGCGGACAAATAGCGATAAGGTGTATTATAGGACCACCAAGGGTAAGATAAAAAAAAACCTGGCGTGTGTTTAAGCCTTTTAGAAAATGGTGATGATAACACATTAACACACTGGACAGGAACTATTATAGGACCACCAAGGGTAAGATAAAAAAAAACCTGGCATGTGTTTAGAAAATGGTGACTCAGAAACATTCTATATTAGTAAATCTACTTACTTTAAGACATTCATTCTGAACAAGTCTGCATGATCTGTATATTACTATACCAATAATACATGTAATAAATTGGGGGTAAACAGCTGAAGTTGTCAATTAACTGCCTGATAGGAGTTACATGTATTGTCCCAAAATGACGATTTTTATCCTTTTATTTTTGTGTTTTTGGCTATTACATGTATGGAGTTGTAATCATAATTTTAGTATACAGTTGAACCTCAGTAAGTCCGTTTGTCAAAGTTGAAGCGATCTGACATAACTTTTTGATATATCCTGCATGAAGGTTCAAGTTTGAATTAGTATTAAGATAAGATAAGATATTTTATTTCCAATTATGGGCCCCAAAGGGCATAAACATTACAACATCAATAATTTTTCATAATACAATACAAACATTGAGATAAATAAAATAACTTAAATTGTATGCTTTTCCTTCCAAAATACTCTTGCAATTGGAACTTCAATACATCAAGGTTAATTTTTTATCCTTTTTCTTCGAGAGTACTTTGAAATATATTCATCGATCAGGTTAACTGAGATTTCAATACAACCGAGTTTGACTCCTTAGAGTTAATAAAAATACATTGAAAAAATGGGAAAAACTGACTAATTACCTCGATTTATCTGAGATCAATACATGGAGGTTTGACTGTATTTATATAATTTGTTTTTATTTTTTTCATATTGACATAATTTACTAAGTAACAATAAACAATGAAAATGTATCTTTCATTCGTGTGAGAACAGTACATTATCAACATTTTATATTTTCAGATATCCAATATTAATTATTATATTGCATATAAATATATTGAAATCACCGGGTTTGTCCAACTGTTCATCCAACAAACTTTAATGAGACTTCTTTTTGTGCTTTTCTGGTATATAATCTAAAATTTAAGGACAGTAGGTCGACCTTTCCTCAAAATTAAATTTCAATAATAATTGACACTGTTCTCAGGCCTAAGAATGACTTGATAATTAGTCCACAGCTTGACAGTGATAAGTTGTGTTCCGATCTACATTTATTAGCTACCTACTGCCTGCTTGGCTCAAAGTTACATTGAATTCTTAATAAGGTTGAATGAAAGCTCTTAATAAGGTTGAATGAAAGCTCTTAATAATGTTGAACGAAAGCTCTTAATTAGGTGGAATGAAAGCTCTTAATAAGGTGGAATGAAAGCTCTTAATAAGGTGGAATGAAAGCTCTTAATAAGGTGGAATGAAAGCTCTTAATAAGGTTGAATGAAAGCTCTTGATAAGGTTGAATGAAAGCTGTTGATAAGGTTGAATGAAAGCAAATCGTTACAATTTCTGAGGAACTCTACTGAACGGAAGGACTTAAGATAATTAACATCATAAGTTGTAAAGTGTGTACACTTTTCAGCTTTGTCAGACATCTCCCCCCTGTTTTCTGATATATTGAATTGACAAGTTTGTGTATGCTTAGCACGACAAAGCATGTATTCTTGTTAAGTTTTGAGCACCACTAATGAGACATTTTCTAAATATATACATGTACATTTGGTCCATCAAGTGAACTTTGTTATCTTATTACTTGTATTACACTGTAGTTTGATATTGATTTTGTATTTTTCAGACACCTTTTGAAAGTAAAATATATACATTAAAACTAACCTGTGGTGAATACTATCCAGACAAACCTCCCATAGCTAGATTTGTATCCAAGATAAAAATGACATGTGTACTTGATTCTGGCCCTCAGACAGGTTTGGTAAGTTTCTTGATCTGTGAAACAGGGAAATTGAACAAATGGATAAAGATAAACCTCTCAAGACATGTATTTGTATCTGTAAATTAGAATTCACATGAAATAATGAGTAAAGTGTAAAGGCTGTTCCATAAAAACATACAAGGGACCCAGGGAAGGCACTTCCAAATCTCAACTATGGGTGGATGTCATCTATGTTTTTGCATAGTGGAAATGTATAAAGTGAAATTTTAATTTGCCTCTTGGTGGTTACACCAATTTTAATTACAATGTAGTTTAGATCCAAGGAATAGAATAATTATATTTATTCTATCCCTGACCAAGACAGATTAGCCCTGAATCAATGATGAGGGTTGAGTAGCGACCTGAACCTGTTAGGGGGTTTGGGGCATCCCCCCTAAGACAATTTTTCTTTCCAGTAATTACATGTGAAATCCTGCAATCTGAGTAGATTATAAATGTAATAATTATCTCATTAAAGCCCATTTTTGGGGTATCATGAAAGAAAATTAAAGAAAAATTGTTAAAATATTTATATTTTATTGTTTTTATTTTTTTTTTGCAAAACACCCATTTATACACATCCCATTGGCAGTTAAAGCTTGGGATGGTCATCCTAAGATGCATTACTTTAATATAATCATAAAAATTATTTATGTATTTAAAATGTATTTCAAGGTCAAGAATGCCACGTGTTGTAAATCTTTGACCTTTTAATTACATCAACATATAAGAACGACATTGTATCATTTGAGATTTCAAAGGTGAACTTTGATAAGGGGTTATAATTATTTGCCAGACGAACAATTCTTTCATTTAATCTGATGTTTAAATTTATATTGGGAATCCATTGTCCCTGTATCTACCATAATATAATATTTTGTCTTTATGTTGAAATGCAGAAATATTTGATTCAATATTTCAAATATAAGTATCGTAGATTTCTGATGAATGGACTGCACCAATTGCCGTACCTATTATTTGTTTATATATATATATTTTTCCATCAATTAAAATTCTTTGTTTTCTAAAATGAGTATCTACAGATGTATTAAAACATTGACTGGTAGAGCATTGACTTTGAAATTTAATTTGTCAAAATTATTATCATGATCATAGGCTCTCTCAACTTCACTTACAGAGCAGCTTGCGTTTACATTAGTAAACTAAACAAGTAACCTTGAACTTGATCATAGTCAAATACGCTCTTTGATATTTAGAAGAAAAGATAATATAATATAAAGCATCGATAAGACCGCAAATTTTTATATAAAGAACGAACACTGCACGGAACAGAATTTCTGGAAATTGATAATCTTAAATTGTCTATACACACGGTCTATGATGAAACAATTTAGCCTAGACAGAGCGCAATTCGTTTAGCCTTAGGCTATCGGTCCTGCATTAATTTCTAATCCTGCTTCCCTTGGTACCATGTATGTTCTAATGGAACAGCCCTAAAGACCATTGAAATCACATCTGAACATTATTAGAAAACCTAGTAAAATACAGCCAAAAAAAGCTCACCAATTTCCATAACATTTACTTATAAACGCCAGATAAGTTTACTAAAAAAAAAATTAAGGTTTTATCATTTACATGTAGGTCAGATGCATATATTCTGCAAACAACTGGTATTTTATAGAAAATATCCTAAAATTATACTGATTATGCTGATACAGAAGGGTTCTCAGGAGTCTATGAGTCCTGGACTCAATCATTTTTAAAACTAATGAGTCCAAAGATGCATGAAGATTGTACAATGTTGTATCAACTAAAGCACACATATCATTTTAAAGCAAAAGTTTAAAAACAATATAAAAATTTGATTTAAATAAAATAAACTCCTTCAGTATGTACATCAGTTTTTTTTTCCCTTTTATTTTCAGATTGATTCCAGGAAAGTAGATGCTTTACGGAACTGGACACATGAATGCTCAATTAAACAGATTTTAATGGATGTCAGAAAACAAATGACACTTAAAGAAAATTTTAAATTCTCTCAACCACCAGAAGGAACTAGTTTTAGTTAGATGAAATCTTTTCTTGTTTGGTTTTCCTAGATACTGATGGGGTGTGTAATTAATGCCAAGGTCTGATCTAGTCATGGTAACTATTTGGAAGGGAGGTAACCATGGCTTAACTGACAGATTGTCTCCCCATTATTTGCTAAGTTAGTGAAAGCTTTACAAGTTAAGAGTATATATACCTCATGGCAAAAATCTTTCTTCCAAATAGTTACAGAGAAAGGATCAATAAAGTGCTATGATGAATATATATTGGGAAGCTCACCTTCATTGAAACTGTACCACATCTAAGAAAGGGTAACATTTTCTATTGATTTTTATGTCATCCCACAGTTACAGTAATATCAAGAAAAAAATATAGTTTGTTTTTTAGACGTTTGCTGTAATTGAGTTTTCGTACCTTTTAAAACCAATCACATGCTCATATGTAGATGAGCTTCCTAAATATAGACTTTCTTTAATGTAGTTGTATGTATATTGCGTTAGAAATAAAGGAAAATCATAACAAAAATTGTACGAATCATTATTATTGCTGACAATGAAGAAGGACAACTTCTATTATTGATGCTAAGATATATTTTCCTAGCTGTACTAAAGAATGTTTCTTATTAAACATATCTCGGATAAAAAAAAAACAGAAAAAAATATATTAACCTTCATGTAGTTCTGTCCCTTTGTTGTCAACCATTTCACTTGCAACTTTGTACTTTTGCCACTTCAGCATTTTTATTTTCAACAGCCGTTATCACAAATTTTTAGATTGTATTTTGACTCAACTTGAAAAAATTCAATGCTAGGTTAAAATTTAATTTCAAGTAAGTTTTCTAATTAACTTGTTAATATTCTTGTTATAAGTGAAGTCAGAATAATTAGTGTGTTAATTTACATAATTAGATCAGTATTTTTAATTTATTTTGCATAAATATTCAGGGTTTAGATAAACTACACCTAAAGTAACTTATTAGTAACTTTTTATGACATATTTCTTGCTTTAAAATGAGTATGTAATTGAGATTACTGGTATTTTATATGTAATAATTAACTTCCAGTACATGTGTTTTATGTGCCACTGTTGTAAAAAGCAGCAAAAGAGGTCTTCTCTAGCAATCTTCACTGAACGCTTACTAAGTCAAATATGATAAACTGTTAACAGAATTTCAATTTTTTTTAAATGTAAAAAGTTTTAAATATTGGGAGATTTGGTTTATATTTTTTTCTGAATTTGCTTAAATATATTAGTTTGGCAATAAAATCATCAAGTATATTTACAAATCATTTATTCTTGTTATAGAAATTCTTCATTTCTTTTTTAAATTTGAGTTGATTTATGTTTTAGAATTATGAACACATGCACATAGATAAGTATCCTTTAGCAAAGAGCATAACTTGAACAATTAGTTCTAATTGATAATTAGCATGATAAATTTGTAGTCTTATTAAATACATTTTTTATACGACCGCAAAAAAATTTTGTGGTCGTATATTGGTATGACGTTGGCGTCGTCGTCGTCGTCGTCGTCCGGCGTCGTCGTCGTCCGGCGTCGTCGTCCGAATACATATTGGTTTTCGCACTCTAACTTTAGTTTAAGTGAATGGATCTTTTTGAAATTTGACCATAAGGTTAAATACCACAAAAGGAAGGTTGGGATTGATTTTGGGGGTTATGGTACCAACAGTTAAGGAATTAGGGGCCAAAAAGGGGCCAAAAATGAGCATTTTATAGTTTCCAGACAATAATTGTGGAACGGTGTATGGATCTCTCTGAAATTATACTAAAAGTTTCCATACCACAAAGGGATGGTTAGGATTTGCTTTGGGGGGTTATGGCTCAAACCGTTTAGGAATTAGGGGCAAAAAAGGGGGAAAAACATGGTTGTCCTGGTTAATGGACAAATACTTTAGTACAAAACATAATTTAAAGCAGTGTAAGGGAGATAAATCAAATACATCATTGAAATTATCTCCCTTACACTGCTTTTAAATTATGTATAAAGTAATGGTTAATGAACAATAAAGATAATCTAAAACAGTGTAAGGGAGGTAATCCAAATATAACGTTTTGGTTACTTCCCTTACACTGCTTTTAAATTATGTTTAAAGAAATGCATATTTATAAAGGAAGACCAGTAAAAATATCTGCAAATGTTTTCATCTTTTTTTTTTACAAAAAAATCCATATGAAAGATTTGACACTATATTTTTATTAATTCTATTATAAAATAGATTAAGTTAGCACTATGGTAAATTTAAATGGGTAATTATGGTTGCCAACTCCATTGGAAATTTGAATTGAGATTATGACCATATCTTGAGGGAAAGAATTTTTTTGGGGGAAAAAGGGGGGGGGGATAAAAAGAAATTGTGGGGGGCCAATTTTTTCTCATTTCAGATTTCAGAAATTAAAAAGAATTATTCTTCAAATATTATTTTTTTTTCAAATTTCAAATATTGAAAAATTTCAAGAAGTAATCTTTAATTGCACAGTATGGCGCATTAGATTTGTAAAATCTTTGATCACATTTATTTATTTGTTATGCCGAATCTAACAGTGTATTTAGATTTTTAATTTTGGGTCCAGTTTTCAAATTGGTCTACATTAATGTCCAAAGGGTCCAAAATTAAACTTTGTTTGATTTTAGTAAAAATTGAATATATGAGGTTCTTTGATATGCTGAATCTAAACATGTATTTAGATTTTAGATTTTTGGCCCAGTTTTCAAGTTGGTCCAAATTGGGGTCCAAAATTAAACTTTGTTTGATTTCAACAAAAATTGAATATATGGGGTTCTTTGATATGCTGAATCTAACCATGTATTTAGATTTTTTATTTGTGGACCCCGTTATCTAATTGGTTCATATTGAGGTCAAAAGGGTCCAAAATTAAACTTTGTTTGATTTCATCTAAAATTGAATTATTGGGGTTCTTTGATATTCCAAATCTAACCGTGTATTTAGGTTTTTAATTTTGGGTCCTGTTTTTTAAATTGGTCTACATTGAGGTCCAAAGGGTCCAAAATTAAACTTAGTTTGATTTTGACAAAAATTGAATTCTTGGGGTTCTTTGATTTGCTGAATCTAAACATGTGTTTAGATTTTTTGATTATGGGCCCAGTTTTCAAGTTGGTCCAAGATAGGGTCCAGTATTTAAACTTTGTTTGATTTCAACAAAAATTGAATATATGGGGTTCTTTGATATGCTGAATCTAAACATGTATTAGATTTTTTATTATGGGCCCAGTTTTCAAGTTGGTCCAAATTGGGGTCCAAAATTAAACTTTGTTTGATTTCAACAAAAATTGAATATATGAGGTTCTTTGATATGCTGAATCTAACCATGTATTTAGATTTTTTATTTGTTGGCCCCGCTATCAAATTGGTTCATATTGAGGTCAAAAGGGTCCAAAATTAAACTTTGTTTGATTTCATCGAAAATTGAATTATTGGGGTTCTTTGATATGCCAAATCTAACCGTGTTTTTAGATTTTTAATTTGGGTCCCGTTTTTTAAATTGGTCTTCATTGAGGTCCAAAGGGTCCAAAATTAAACTTAGTTTGATTTTAACAAAAATTGAATTCTTGGGGTTCTTTGATATGCTGAATCTAAACATGTGTTTAGATTTTTGATTATGGGCCCAGTTTTCAAGTTGGTCCAAGTTGGGGTCCAAAATTAAACTTTTTTTGATTTCAACAAAAATTGAATATATGGGGTTCTTTGATATGCTGAATCTAACCATGAATTTTGATTTTTTATTTGTGGGCCCCGCTATCAAATTGGTTCATATTGAGGTCAAAAGGGTCCAAAATTAAACTTTGTTTGATTTCATCAAAAATTGAATTATTAGGGTTCTTTGATATTCCAAATCTAACCGTGTATTTAGATTTTTAATTTTAAGTCCCGTTTTTTAAATTGGTCTACATTAAGGTCCAAAGGGTCCAAAATTAAACTTAGTTTGATTTTAGCAAAAATTGAATTCTTGGGGTTCTTTGATATGCTGAATCTAAACATGTGTTTAGATTTTTGATTATGGGCCCAGTTTTCAAGTTTGTCCAAGTTGGGGTCCAAAATTAAACTTTGTTTGATTTTAACAAAAATTGAATATGTGGGGTTCTTTGATATGCTGAATCTAACCATGTATTTTGATTTTGGACATTGGACCATAATAGGTAAATTAAAAAAATTCAAGTTCTTAGACCACATTCTTTCTGTGTCAGAAACCTCTGCTGTGTCAAATATTTAATAACAATCCAAATTCAGAGCTGTATCAAGCTTGAATGTTGTGTCCATACTTGCCCCAACTGTTCAGGGTTCGACCTCTGCGGTCGTATCAAGCTGCGCCCCAGCGAAGCATTTTATTGATAATTATTTTGTTATTAATATTTCTTGTTATTTCCTAAGAACATCTGTAAATTAATCAGAATATGGAATGTTTGAAGTAAGATTTTTTTCTGCTATAATTGTACTTAATTTTTGCAATGTATCTGCTTAAACTTACTTCAGGTATTTTATTTCTGAAACTTATCAAATCTTAGTGTAAATGTTACCTTACAGTAAATTAAACAATGGCTATTAGCCTACATTGTACTTCGGAAGAACTTTATTTGTTGATTTAGATTTTCGTTGTTTGTTGAAAATTATTTCTTTTGAATTCTTTGTTTCAGACTTTGAGTAATAAACCAATGGAAAATATGCATTTGTTTGGTATTGAAATTTGTATTTTTGATTAACCATGAAATCTACAAAAAATTCTTCTCTATTAATTAGAATGTTTCACAACTTACTTAGAGATGCAAGTTTCATTACAATATCTTCAGATCAGACTTTGCTAGAATATTTTAACACTTGGTTTTGATCTGTTGGAATCTTCAATAAAATATTATTAACATACAATTTGTAACACCTGTATAGAGAAACTTGTAGTTCTGTATCAGTATTATGTAAGGAGATCACTTCATTAATTTGTCTAGCAAGGCTATGTTAACTCTTTTTTAGGGAATGTAGGTTGAATGTCTGAACATCATATGCATTCCTTATTTCACTTTTTGCTTGATATGTTTGAAAATAAACTGTACATTCAATTCATTAATCATCTGTGTGGACTTGTAATTTATGTATGATAATGGCCCTGGTCCAATTTAATTACTTATCTCTCTAATGAACTAATGACCTATGTCCTGTTTGCAAGTTTTTTCTGTCTTTTTAAGGATTTTCTCTCAAATCCATGAAGGCTTCTTTGAAAGCATTTTTAGACTACCTGCATATGTTTTTACTCTGCCTCTGGTTGTAGGTTAGCATTATGGTTTTTATACGACCGCAAAAATTAAAAATTTTTTGGTCGTATATTGGTATGACGTTGGCGTCGTCGTCGTCGTCCGGCGTCGGCGTCGTCCGAAGACACATTGGTTTTCGCACTCTAACTTTAGTTTAAGTGAATGGATCTCCATGAAATTTTACCATAAGGTTCAATACCACGAAAGGAAGGTTGGGATTGATTTTTGGGGTTATGGTACCAACAGTTAAGGAATTAGGGGCCAAAAAGGGGCCAAAAATAAGCATTTTTGTAACTTCCAGACAATAACTTGTGTGTAAGTGTATGGATCTCTCTGACATTGTACCACAAGGTTCCATATCACAAAGGGAAGGCTGTAATTGATTTTGGGGGTAATTGCCTCAAAATTTTAGGAATTGGGGGCCAAAAAAAGGGGCAAAAAACAAGCATTTTTCTAGTTTCATGACAATAACTTGTGTGTAAGTGTTTGGATATTTCTGAAATTGTACTACAAGGTTCCATATCACAAAGGGAAAGCTGGGTTTGAGTTTGGGGGTAATTGCCCGAAACGTTTAGGGATTGGGGGCCAAAAATAAGCATTTTTCTAGTTTCCAGACAATAACTTGTGTTCAAGTGTATGGATCTCTCTGAAATTGTACTGCAAGGTACCATACCACAAAGGGAAGGCTGGGATTGAGTTTAGGGGTGATGAATCATAAGGGGGTTCAAAAAATTTGGGGGGGGGGGGGGATTTTTTTTTTTCTTTTTTTTTCTTTCTTTTCCTTTTATTTTTCTTTTAAAATTTTCCATTTTAAGTTGGTTATTTCTGATTATATTTAAAAGCAAATAATAATGATATGGTAGGAGATACACACCAAACAGGATGTGTAAATTATTATATAATAAGTAATGTGCAATAGCAAGAAATTTTCAATTGCACAGTATTGCACAATAGCAAGAAATCTTCAATTGCACAGTATTGCGCAATAGCAAGAAATCTTCAATTGCACAGTATTGCGCAATAGCAAGAAATATCCAATAGCACAATATTGCGCAATAGCAAGAAATTGTCAATTGTACAGTATTGCGCAATAGCAAGAAATATTCAATTGCACAGTATTGTGCAAAAGAAGATACTTCATATAAATTGCTTATTTCTTGATCAATTTCAATGGGGTT